TTTGTATTTTGTTTTTAGATTTTTTTTCTCTTTTTTTGAGACGGGATGTCACTGTGTTGCCCAGGCTGGAGTGCAACAATGCCATCTTGGTTCACTGCAGCCTCAACTTCCCAGGGTCAAGCAATCCTCCCACCTCAGCCTCCTTGAGGGACCACAGGAGTGCACCACCACACCCGACTAATTTTTCGTAGAGATGGGGTCTCACAATGTTGCCCAGGCTGGTCTCAAACTACTGGGGTCAAGCAATCATCTTGCCTTGTCCTCCCAAAGTGCTGGAATTAGAGTGCCTGGCCACAAATCTGATTTGAATGTCAGAAGGGCAGCAAGTAATTACTAAGTTGTTTTATGGGGAAACCAATGTTGTCACCGTACCACGCACAGCTCCGTTACAGCCTGATGACACAACCTACAAGTCATTTAGCCTCAGTCACTTCCTTGTGAAGCTTTCACCTCCCATTTAATCAGAGACAGTTTGGGAAAGAAGGAGGTGACATATACCCATAGTTGTAATTGGAAAATAGCCCAGGCAGTGTTCCTTGTGATTTTATTTTGTTTCCATCAGCTTGGTGTTTGGAAGTAGACATCAGTTAACGAGCTGTGTAGCAGGCATAGAGGAAAGCATGAACTTTGAAACTAGAATTCTTACATTCAGATCCCAGGTCTGCAGCCCCCTCGTTTTGGGCCCGTGGCAGATTACTGGTCCCTCTGAGTCTCAGTGTCTTCATTTTTAACCTGGAGATGCCCGGAAGGAAATTCCTGCTGGGTAAGATCCCCCAGAGGGAGGCTTCAGCCACAGGCAGCTTTCTTTGGCCAAAGTCTTGGTAAGGCCTGGATGACACTTGGGCTAGGAGCCTGGGACAGAGGGGCCAAGATCACACCCGCGGAGTTAGATACACCCCAACACCCAGAAAGACTGGGTTTCCTAATGCAGCAGGATTCACCTCTTACATCTAAGGAAAAGAATCAGACCTGGCCAGGCACTGTGGCTCATGCCTGCAATCCCAGCACTTTGGGAGGCCAAGGTGGGAGGATCACTTGAGCCCGGGAGTTCAAGAACAGCCTGGGCAACATAGCAACATCCCATCTCTACAAAAAATTTAAAAATTAGCTGTTGTGGTGGCATGCGTCTGTAGTCCCAGCTACTCGGGGAGCTGAGCCCAGGAGTTTGAGGCTATAGTGAGCTGTGCTTGCACCACTGCACTCCAGCCCGGGTGACAAAATGAGACCCTGTCCCTAAAAATAAAAGAATTGAAGAATGAGACCCAATTCAGTCTGCATCTTAGGGTCCAGATCCAAAGATGGCAGAACTCCTCATGTTTTGTGTACCATGAACATGTCAGTGGCGGCGTGGCACAGAGGAAGGGAAGCGGGTCAGTGTGCAGGAACAGGGCAGGGTGGGTGAGGTGATTAGGAACTAGGAAGGCACAAATAGACACAACTGGATTTTTTTCCCTCTCTTTTGAAACTGTCTTGCTCTGTCACCCAGGCTGGAGGGCAGTGGTGCCATCTTGGCTCACTGCAACCTCTGCCTCCCAGGTTCAAGTGACTCTTCTGTCTCAGCCTCCTGAGAAGCTGGGATTACAAGCACACATCACCATGCCTGGTTAATTTTTTTTTATTTTTAGTAGAGACAGGGTTTTACCACGTTGGCTAGGCTGGTATCGAACTCTTGATCTCAAGGGATCCACCTGCCTGGGACTCACAAAATGCTGGGATTATGGGTATGAGCCACAGCTCCCGGCCAACCTGATTTTTTTTTTTTTTTAAACAAAACAATGGGCCAGGCATGATGGCTCATGCCTGTAATCCCAGCATTTTGGGAGGCTGAGGTGGGTGGATTGCCTGAGCTCAGTAGTTCGTGACCAGGCTGGGCAACATGGTGAAACCCCATCTCTACTAAAAAAATACAAAAAATTAGCTGACTGTGGCGGTGTGCACCTGTAGTCTCAGCTACTCAGGAGGCTGAGACAAGAGAATTGCTTGAACCCAGGAGGCAGAGGTTGCATTGAGCCAAGATCGTGCCACTGCACTTCAGCATGGGTGTCAGAGCAAGACTCCATTTCAAACAAACAAAACAAACAATGGCAGAGCCTATCCTTAAGGAAGGAGGGTCCAGAGAGCCTGGTGCTGTTCCCAGCCAGGAGGACGTGTGAAGTCAGGACAACTCCAAGACTGTTGCTGCTGGAAAGGTTGGTTCCCTGCACCAGCACATTGCACAGCTCCAAAGGCGTTGGCCACATGCACCGACCATGGTCCAAAGGTGCCTCCTGGAGCTGAGCAACTCCAGGGCCTTGGCAGATGTCAGCCGAAGCTCCCAGAAGACTGGTGTGTAAAAGGCCCTCAAGACCAGGAGGAACTGAGACTGCATGTGACGTGACCTGCCCCAGGCCACGCCATCTGCAAAAGATGCTGGCACCAGCCACCCTGGCATCCAGCCTGTGCTGTCCCTGGGTGCTGCCCTTCACTCCTCAGCCTTGCGGAGGGCTGGGCTTACCTTCTGACCTCAGGGAACCAAACGGCAAAGTTTCTGTCATCTCTGTGATCACATCCTGCGGTCTGTTTGCCCCATCAACATGCCCCTTCTCATCTTTTATTTTATGGAACATTTCCTGTGAGATTCTGCCAAAGACCTGCTTGTTTCCGTTACTTTGATTTTCTTTTAAGGAAAGCAAAATTTATGGAAATCAAACTGGTTTTGACACAGGAGCCACAACAAATCAAACTTTCCTTTCCTGAGTGAGTATAAATAATTGGTTCTGACACACGCCTTTGACGTGAACCACAGCAGCTGTCATGCGGGAGGACACGGGTGGCAGGCCTGAAACACCAGCGTGCAACTTTTACCCAAAGGGTGGAGTCAGTGCGGAAACTGGGACCTCTGGAAATTTCTTTTTGAGAAATTTCATTTCCTCTAAGCTTAGTCAATATTACTCAATTTTAGTGTTCCCTTGGCCCAGGTGCTTACTGCAAAACAGGGAGCATCAGCCTGAGATTTTCAGTTAACCTGTAATCCTTGCCAGGGGGCGTCAGGATGGTAGTGTCTTTGCCAGAACTTTGCAGGATGGCTTCCTTTGTTCTGTGGCCACAGGAGTGTCTTGTGGTGTGTCGCTTTTCCAAAGACAACCACGGCTCCAAGTGCCACTCGGGAGGGCTTGTGGAACGGGTTCTGTGAAGTTGCTGCTGCTGTGGCCTGCGCCGCGAAGCTTGTGGCCTGACCTGAGAGCAGAGAGGACACCCTTTAAACAGAAACGTTTTTAAAGTTTCCCTCTCCCTACTTAATTCTCCCTGCCATCCTCTCCCTACTGCCCCATCATCTCTAATCCCCAAATAATAGAGATGCGGGCTCCTGGCAGTAAACGGTGCCACGGGGCATCTCATTTCAGTTGTTGGCATCCTCGTGGAGGGATGCTGGGCTGATTAGTAGCAGGGGAGCAGCCTTGGGAAATCTGAAAATATACCAGAAGTCATTTTCCAGGAACTACCTCCCATGCTTACTTTCCTCCAATTGCTCTGGCTTTTTAGAGACCGAAATCCTAGTCTTATTGCAAAACGAGCCCTCAGATTAAGGGAGATTTTTCTTTGATGAGTTGTATGAAACACATGTCCATTGGCAGCCTGCAGAGGTTGGTCCATGGGGGACGCTAGGCACTAAAATCTATGGAAGATGGAAAGTTCTGGCCTGGAAAATGGATGAGAGACATTTGTTTAGAGGGTTTTTGCTTTGTTTTGCTTTTTTTTTTTGAGTCTTGCTCTGTTGCCCAGGCTGGAGTACAGCAGTGCAATCTTGGCTCACTGCAACCTCTGCCTCCCGGGTTCAAACAATTCTCCTGCCTCAGCCTCCAGAGTAGCTGGGATTACAGGCATGAGCCACCACGCCCAGCTAATTTTTGTATTTTAGTAGAGACAGGGTTTTGCCATGCATGCTGGTCTCAAACTCCTGACCTCAAGTGATCCGCCCCCCTCACTCTCCCCAAGTGCTGGGATCATAGGCATGAGCCACCGCGCCCGGCCCCAGCTCATGGTCTGGTTGTAGAGACAAAGACGTAGGCGATGGCGTGAGGTTTTGGAAGCGTCGTGGCTGGTTGGTGGCTTGGGTATGCAGAGCAGGGCTGACGGGGCAGCGGAGGGGAGGCCCACCGGTGATGGAGTCAGGCCCAGCCCCAAAGCCCACACTCTCTTAGTGCTGAGACAGAGACAGAGATGGACAGACACAGACAGACAGAGGGTCGCTTTTCAGTGTTGTTCACCCCTGTTGGCGACCCTCTGGTGCCTGCACCTGCCCCTCTCATCTGTCTCTCAAAGGCAAAACAAAGAGCCTTATTGGTGGAAGACACGCTGCTCATATCTCCGTAGTAGATACCCTGCAAACAGTTGACTGTGCGGACAGCTTTTCCCAAGGCACACTCTCATCCTGCTCCCCCAACCTGATTTTCATCCTGAATTCTCTGTCTCTGGCCCACCTCCACCCACCCAGTGCACCAAATCAGAGAGAGCAGGATCATCCCAGCTCCCCCCGACTCCACTCCCACATCCAGTGATGCAGCTTTAACTTCAGACTTCCCTCCTTTGCTTGGTTCCCATTGTCACTGTGGCACTGCCTCACATTGGACCTCTTCATTGTCATCTGGGCAATGACAACTGAGTCCTAAGTGGCCCCAGCCTCTCCTCTCTCTCACCGCGACCCAAGCACCACACTGCCACCAGCATTGTACCCTGGAAGCAAATTAGATCACACCAGGGTCTTCCTTTCTTCCTTTCATTTTTCTTTCTTTCCCTCTCTCCCTCCCTCCTTTCCTCCCTCCCTTCCTTCCTTTCTTCCTTTTTTTGGTGGGAGGACAGGGTCTCGCTTTGTCACCTAGGCTCGAGTGCAGTGGTATGATCATGCAGTCTTGACCTCTTAGGCTCAAGCAACCCTCTTACCTCAGCCTCCTGAATAGCCAGGACTACAGACACGTGCCACCACACCAGGGTCATTTTTATATTTTTTTGTAGAGGTAGGGCGTTGTGATGTTGTCCAGGCTTGGTCTTGAACTCCTTCCTTCACGTGATCCTCCCACCACAGCTTCCCAAGTAGCAGGGACTACAGGCTCGTGCTGGCGTGCCCAGCTGATGTTGTTTCTTTTTCGTGGAGACAGGGTCTCACCATGTTGCTCGGGCTGCTCTCATGCCCTGGCCACAAGCGGTCCTCTTGCCTTATCCCCCTCACAAAGTGCTGGGTACAGGCGGGAGCCACTGCACCCAGCGGACCATGCCATTCTCAGTCTGAAATATCTCCAATTACTTCACATTGTGTAGAGAATAGAATCTGACTTTCTTCGCATGGCATAGCAGGGTCTGCATCTTGCTTCATCTCGTCCTTCCATCATCTGCCACAGCCACACGATCTCTCACTAGCGCCTAAGTGCACCTCTTGCCCTTGCACACACTCCACTCTCTGAACCCAGGCGAGAACATCGCCGACTTCCCCACCTAGGAAGCTCTTATGCAACCCACTAAACTCAGCTCAAATATTACCTTCTCTGTAAACATACTCGTTTATTTCTTTAGAAAGCCTAAATCATGCCTTCCTCTGTATTTATATCTTTGTAAGTCCTCCGGCGTTATGTTTATATCTTTATATAAGTGCTTGTCATAATATATTGAAATCATCCATACATACATGTCTTCTGTCTGGATATCTCTCCTTCTGTCACCTAGGCTCTGTCATCCATCCATACATGTTTTCTGTCTGTTTTACATAGAGACAGATAGATAGATGGATAGTTAGTTAAGATAAGCAGATAGATAGAGGCTGGAGTGCAGCGGCAAAATTATAGCTCACTGCAGCCTCAATCTCCTGGGCTTAAATGATGCTCCCACCTCAGCTTCCTGAGTTACTAAAACTACAGGTGCACACTACAGTGCCTGGCTATTTTTTTTTTTTTAAATTTTTTTGTGGAGACAAGATCTCAATATGTTGCCCAGGCTGGTCTTGAACTCCTGCGCTCAAGAGATCTTCCTGCGTTGGCCTCCCAAAGTTCTGGGATTACAGGTGTGAGCCACTGTGCCCGGCCATCGGAGTTTTATATTTTATTGCCAACATCTAATCTAAGGCTCTGCTCTACGCTGAATGCTCATTGGCTGTTCGTACCTTGTTACAGGAGTTCCTGACGGTCCTTTCGTCTGTGTATATTGCCAGGGGCCTTTGGTAACCTGAAATTCCCTTATGGTGAGGCAGCAGGAAGCAGAGAAACCTAGCAGAGACAGAACCTTGGGGCTCTCTCCTTTATCTTTGGTCATAATTGTCCAACTTCAAAATAAATTCTGCAACACCACTAGTCACCAGGGTTATCATCCTATCAAAGGGTGTTTGATGTTGTCAGTTTAAGGGATTAAAATAAGTAACTTCCACACAAGAGGTAGACAAGCAATACCAACCTGAGAACGAGAGCCAAGTACTGGGAAGGCTCGAATCACCTGCATCACCTTCGGAATGGCACTGCATTACTCAAAATTGAGAATGTTCTCATGCACAGAATGCTGAGATTCATGTCAATGAACTGATGTTAGGTTGTTCTGCAGGAAAACATAGTAAATATTATCATTTATGGCATAGAAAAAAATATGTTTTCAGATGACTCTAGGCTAAGAGCAATGAAACAATGAAGAGAAAAAATGATCTTTTGACCCAGATCTAGATTGTTCTACCCTTAAAGTATTTAAGATGGTGATAAGCACATGTCTAAATTACCTGACTTCTCTAATAGTCAAATGGGAAAAAAAATCAGACGAGAAAGGGATAAAGTTGAAGTTTTAAAAAATTCATATTAGGAAAATTAGAAATACATGAAATTTCATCTGAAATCAACCAGAGACTTGGATCCTGTTCTGCTTAAGTGAGTTTTACATCATGCAATACAAATTAAATACGTTGCTGATAAAATGGACCCAAAGCTTCCTATTGAATTATATAAAATGAGCTTTCTATCATTGTCCCCACCATTGAAAAATAGGATTTTCATAAATCACACTATTTTCCTAATAACCCTAACTTCAAACAGTTCAATTTTTATTTAAAGGAAAGCAATTTCCCAAATGGCATTTAGTCAGAACAGGTGCTGTTCCATTGACAACTTTTAAACGGTTGGAATTAGCTTTGACATCTGGATGCCAGAGCTAATCAGGGGGCGTTTTCTCTTTTTCTATCTGTACTCACTATCTGAAGCCCAGTTTACAGCTTCTGAGTGTATTTTGTACCTCGTTAAATGTTTTTGGCATCCTGTATAGCATATTGGCCAGTATGATTCATCCTTTCTTTGAGCACAATTAGCTGTGAAAACAGATCTTAGGACAGACTCCCTCCCCCGCCCCAAAGGATTACTGAAGGTAGGAAATGCAGGTGATTATCAAGAGTTTGCCTTTGATACAGACATCCTGCTCTGCCTTGGCCCTTTGAACTAACTTTGATATGCAATAATTAAGAGGGATTCAACCCCTGGAGGAGAAGCCGCATGGCCCTGCCTCTACTCTCCTTCTATTGAGTCCTTGTTTTGAACTATTGATCAAACAGATTTGAAGGGATTTGTTGAAGCCTGTGTGGGGTAGGAGGAAGGAACAAAGTCGGGAGGAGGCACATCTGGTTATAAATAGTTTCAGGAGGAACCTGCTGGTCAGACCTGGCTCAGCTGATTTCAAGCACCTTACTCAGACGAAATTTTGCTTCTCTTTCAGAAAAAGCAGTGATAAACTGACGACGTGCTGAGCTGCCAGCTTGGTGGATGCTCTGCTGTGGGTGGAGAGCAGCCTCGCTTCGGGGACACACAGTGCTGGGACCCTCCGGGAGCCTGGGGATTGAAGGATGGTGGCAGCCGTCCTGCTGGGACTGAGCTGGCTCTGCTCTCCCCTGGGAGCTCTGGTCCTGGACTTCAACAACATCAGGAGCTCTGCCGATCTGCACAGGGCCCGGAAGGTAAGGCTGCTAGGGAAGGGCCCGAGGTACCGGGCTGCTGACAGCTGGGTGTTCTGTTTAGGCTTTAGTAAGTCATTTTGATTCATGTGTGAAATGTCTTACCTTGCAGGTAAATTGAATTGGTTTTGGATTTGGAGGGCACCCTGGTAAGACCCAGTGGCCTTAGCATGAATGTATGAAATAAACACAGTGGCTTTCCGCATCATTCGTTTGTAAGTCAGGGAATAAACGCACACTTCGGAAGTTCTGCTCTGTGCCAGCTCTTTTACATGTAATACCTCATTTACCCGTCCTCACAACTTGAGACAGGTGAAACACCCCCTAATTCCAGATGAGGAAATAAGACTCAGAGAGGCTGAGGAGCTTACCCAAGCTCACACAGCCAGCAAACAGGGGGGCAAGGATTTAAATGGAGGACCACGATGCATTGCCTGGTCACCGTCTAACTTCACAGAGAGCTGTTTTAGGGATCACTTTATATAAGTGTATGTTATTATATATCTTATGTATTACTATATATATCATATATACTATACCTACATTACATATCCATGTAAAAGCATCAACTGTTGATGGGAACAACTGATCTTCAGTATCTCTTTCTCTGTGCAAATGAGGCATCACTGAAAATCAAAGGACAGTTCACTTAGGGAAGGCTCTTTAGGTTAAATTTGATTCACTAGAGTAAAAAATCAAATAGGAATGCCACAAACATCAGTACTATATTTAATTAAACTGCAGCCAGCCTCTAGAGTTAAGATCTATTGAATATCTCATAATCACCTGTCAAGACACACATAGGAAAACATTTTCTCCCATTTTCACAAAGAGCACAGGAAAACGAAATTCTGAGTTCAGACGATTTTTCAAACTCAAATAGCCTTTGCAGCACCCAGGTCTCTTCCCAGGTGATCTGAGCTTCCCTTCGTGGGAGAGAACCATTTCCACCGAAAAATAAGATGCTGCCCAGGGTTTGTCACAGTGCCACTGTCCTTTGGCTCCCTCTGCCTCCTGCCTTGAATAAAAAGTCATCTTCCATTGTGTTGGATTTTCTAGCCTTGTGACAGCAGCTTCCCTCCACAGGGCTCACAGTGCCTGTCTGACATGGACTGCAATACCAGAAAGTTCTGCCTCCAGCCGCACGATGAGATGCCGTTCTGTGCTACGTGTCGTGGGTTGCGGAGGAGATGCCAGCGAGATGCCATGTGCTGCCCTGGGACATTCTGTGTGAATGGTGAGTGGCCATAACGCCAACAGTGGTTTTTAAACCGAAGGCAGTGTCTAAGCTCCATGGACAAGAATATTCCAGGGCAGGTACTCTCTAACGGCACTTCCTAGATTCATGCGTGAAGTAAATTTATGCAGCTGCCTGTCTTTTTTCTTTCTTTTTTTCTTTTTTTTTGAGACAGAGTCTTGCTTTTGTCGCCCAGACTGGAGTGCAATGGCACGATCTCAGCTCACTGCAACCTCTGCCTCCTGGGTTCAAGGCATTCTCCTGCCTCAGCCTCTGGAATAACTGGGATTACAGGTGTGCACCACCATGCCCAGCTAATTTTTGTATTTTTAGTGGAGACGGGTTTTTGCCATGTTGGTCAGGCTAGTCTCGAACCCCTGGCCTCAGGTGATCCACCCACCTCAGCCTTACAAAGTGCTGAGATTATAGGTGTGAACCACCATGCCTGGCCTGCCTTTTCTTAATGAAACAGAATAATTTATTTCCTGGCAACAGCTCTTGCCAATGACTTGGAGATAATGATTTTGAAGGAAAGATTCAAGCTGGAATCATTCAAATGCTTCCATTTCCACTTGGATTCTATTAGCTACTTTTATTGGAATCCGATTTCCATTTAGCTACCTTCTCTGCCATATGTGAGCATGTAAATATTTAGTTCATGTCCCAGAAATCTAGAAAGTTATATATAAACTGAAGGCAGAGGTGCTGCCAAACTAAGTAACAGTAGGCTAATTAGTGTGGCTGTGGTTCTCCTTGAAGTTAATAATTCTAGTTACACCTGGTTGTCTCTCAGATGTTTGTACTACAATGGAAGATGCAACCCCAATATTGGAAAGACAGCCCGACGAGCAAGATGGCACAGATGCAGAAGGAACAACTGGGCACCCAGTTCAGGAAAACCAACCCAAGAGGAAGCCAAGTATTAAGAAATCACAGGGCAGGAAGGGTAAGAGCAGCATTCTGAGCTCATTTTATTTCAGAAATGCATTTTCTCCTCTCAGCCTCTTAAGGATAGGCTGACTGACTTTATTCTTCTCCATCAGAGAAACACTTTGGGAGCATGTGCTGTTGTAATCTCTTTCCATAAGAAGCTGTGGGGGTCACATAGACAGTGGCCTAAGGCAGTCTGCAGGTTGAGAGAACAAGCGAATGGCCAGTAACAATGAATAAATTCCACTGGGTGGGGGTGGAATTGCCATTGCATTACCGCTTTTAGCCTAAGATCTAGCTCTGTGAGACCCGCGTGCTGTGTCTATTTTTACTTTGTGGCTGTCAGTCGTAGGTCCCATCCCCTTATCCCAGTAGCAGTGCCCGGGCAGGCCACTTTTCCCGTTTATCACTAAACCCCCCATTAACCTTGTTACAGGACAAGAAGGAGAAAGTTGTCTGAGAACTTTTGACTGTGGCCCTGGACTTTGCTGTGCTCGTCATTTTTGGACGAAAATTTGTAAGCCTGTCCTTTTGGAGGGACAGGTCTGCTCCAGGAGAGGGCATAAAGACACTGCTCAAGCTCCAGAAATCTTCCAGCGTTGCGACTGTGGCCCTGGACTACTGTGTCGAAGCCAACTGGCTGGCGATGGGCAGCATCCACGGTTAAGAGTATGCCAAAAAATTGAAAAGCTATAAATATCTCAACGTAAAGAAGAATCCTCATTGCATTCGGGCTCAGTCTTGGACATGAACTTTCAAATGTCTCCATACAGATCTCTCCTGAAATCAAATCTTGCAGCAAGCAAAATAGCCTGAAACTAGAGAACTGAGATGATGGCTTTGTGATGAATGAGACCAGCATTAGCTTTTTGTCTGTTTTTCCAGAAAACCAATGAGATTCTGTAACAAAAAAATTTATTTCTAATCTAGGGGCTCCATTAATTCAAATCTTTAAGAATTGAAATTGTATATATTTAAGGTATACAGCGTGATGTCTTGAAATACATATACTATAGTTGAGCTACAGCTCTCTCTCCAAATAAATCTTTAAGCAATTTCTGGTGAAGGCTGGTGCCTGACAGTATCCTAGGGGGGAAAAATGATAGCATCTGAAGTTAAAAGTTAATTCTTTTATCTTCCCAGGGAAAATTATCACAACAAATACTGTATTTTTCCTTAAAAACCCTATTGTTTATTTCCATTCATTTCTTGGAAAGGAAATGGCATTTCACTACAAAATAATTTGGTTAATAAAGAAGTTTCAAAAAGTAATATCTTATGTCTGTGTAGTCCTTTGCAAGTATAAAGCATTTTTACATGTTTTCGATAGCTTTACTTACCATATGATAACTTTTTATATTTATATAATTCATAATTTCAAATTATATAATTTGAAAGGCAGGGCTTTCGAGGAGTGTCACTTATACATTTTGGCCACTTGCACTTAAAAGTTAGCCCAGAGGAAAACTCAGGCAAAAAAGCGAAATTTTTGTATTAAGACTATATTTTTGTGCATAGAAGTGGTTGTGCTTAGTAAAGCTCTTTCTAGTGAATTTCAAGCAAGTGCTACAGATTTCATTTCAGAGATAAACCATATATACCTCTTTTTCTATTCAGGTTATAAGTATATATTACAAGATCAATGATATGGTTTGGACGTTTGTCCCCTCTGTCTCATGTTGAAATGTGACCTCCAGTGTTGGAGGTGGGGCCTGGTGGGAGGTGACTAGACCATGGGGGCCGATTCCTCATGAATAGCTCAGCACCATCCTCTTGGTGCTAAGTGAGTTGTTAGTTCACACAAGATCTGATTGTCTAAGAGAGTATGGCACGTCCTCTCTCTCTCTCATTCCTGCTTTCGCCATGTGAAGTGCCTGCTCCTGCTTCATCTCCCACCATGAGCAAAACCTTCCTGAGGCCTCCCAAGAAGCTTAGCAGACGCCAGTGCCATGCTTCCTATATAGTCTCCAGAACCATGAGCCAATTAATCCTTTTTCTTCTTCTTTTTTTTTTTGAGACAGAGTCTCACTCTGATCCGGGTTGGAATGCAATGGTGCAATCTCGGCTCACTGCAACCTCTGCCTCCTGGGTTCAAGGAATTCTCCTGCCTCAGTCTGGCAAGTAGCTGGGATTACAGGTGTGTGACACCATATCCAGCTAATTTTTGTATTTTTAGTAGAGACAGGGTTTCACCATGTTGGCCAGGCTGGTCTCGAACTCCTGACCTCATGGTCCACCAGACTCAGCCTCCCAAAGTGCTAGGATTACAGGCAAGAGCCACCACGCCAGCCAATTATACCTTTTTGTTTCATAAACTACCCAGTCTCCAGTATTCTTTTATAGCAATGCGAGAATGGACTGATAACAATCAAATATGGGCCCAACAAAAAATTACACGTATAAAGGTCCCTAGTTACTGGTTTTTTTTTTGAGATGGAGTCTTACTCTTGTCACCCAGGCTGGAGTGTAGTGGTGCGATCTCAGCTCACTGCAACCGCCACCTCCAAGTTCAAGCAATTTTCCCACCTCAGACTTATAAGTAGCTGGGATTATAGACGTGCCACCACTCCCAGCTAGTTTTTATATTTTTGGTAGAAATGGGGTTTCACCATGTTGGCCAGGCTGGTCTCCAACTGCTGACCTCAGGGTATCTGCCTGCCCCAGCCACCCAAAGTGCTGGGATTACACGCATGAGCCACCGCACCTGGTTTCTAGAAAATACTGAAAAATCTTCCCGAGGCTAGTTTCTGGTTGTACCTTAATTAACCAATTTGTGATCAGTAAGTAGGGGTAACATGGTTTACAGCATAGAGCAGAATATGAGAAAATAAAAACTTCCATTCAAGATCTGCTATGATCTCATATTTCTCTCTACCAAACCCATAGTAAAGTATGATCATGAATATGAAAATTTAAACATATTTGCTAAGTAAATAAGAACATCATCATCTAATAACAGTACAAGAGATTTTATTGACTACATTGCAAGCTAAAGCATGAAGAAGAAACGATCATTTAAAAACACCAAAGACCCTTACATAGCAAAGGTTAAGAAATAAATTAAGACTCCTATTGGGCTTTGTCTGCCAGGGAAGCTACAGGCCTCATTCGCTCCGGTCCTTGGGTTCTCGGTATTTCCACTGGATGTAATCAAAGATGTCTTTCTCACTATCCACTGGCAGCGGTTCTCCAGCAACTCCTGCAAGTACAGAGAGAAAAAACTTACTGTAAGAACCAGTTTTGTAATGTAGTTATAGAGGAGTTCAGGATTAAGAGTTGTGTGGGACAGGCCAGGCGCGGTGGCTCACACCTGTAATCCCAGCACTTTGGGAGGCTGAGGTGGGTGGATCACGAGGTCAAGAGATCAAGACCATCCTGGCCAACATGGTGAAACCCTGTCTCTACTAAAAATACAAAAATTAGCTGGGCATGGTGGCGCATGCCTGTAGTCCCAGCTACTCGGGAGGCTGAGGCAGGAAAATTGCTTGAACCC